TGTATTTAACTAACAGGGACCGACTTCTACAGCTGTATTGAACTCTTGTTACAAAGTGTGTGAAATGGTCCATGAAACATTTGTATTACGGTGGTGGTGGTTGATGGTGGTGATAGTGGCGGTCGGTGTCTGTTGTTATGCGGTAGAGACTATAGAGAAAAAATTAGATAGAAAAATGTTGTGAGAAATTCGAAAGAAAGAAAGTGATTTTATATTATAAAAAAATAGAAAGAGAATCTTTTTCCTCCCTTCACATACTTATGTCTCCACTAAGATTTGAGCCATTGACATTCCTTTGAAAAGTAAATATCTGATACCACTAGGTCACTAACTTGTTAGTTAAAAAAAAGAAGAGATAATCTATGCACAATATATATTTACCTTTATGAATCATTTCAAACAATATATCACGGACAAGAAGGATCTAAAATTAAATCACAATGGCCATGTTCTCATTGATCCTCCACCCATGACTAATTCAAGACCAGAAATCTGAAGCTCTTTTAACTTTTATTTAAGTTGAAGCGCTTTGATTTGTTCGTGTTACTAAGATGGACTAAATACTAACCTAATCTCGATTGCCACTTGCTTATTCTCTTTTCAGTTATTTTTTTCATCGCTCCAAACATGCTAATATATTTAGTGTGTCAGTTTCTTCTTCAATTCGACTTGAGCACTGGTTTATTGTTATGAGAAGAGGCAAGTAAGAGAGAATCAATCTCTTAGTTAGTACTCCCTCTGTCCCAAAAAAGATGTCATGTTTTCTTTTTTGATCAGTTCCAAAATAATTGTCTACTTTTACTTTTTAAACAATATATTTTACATCTTTTCATATATGTCCTTAGAGTTTAAAATTTCAAACTTGAATATAAGGGCAAATTAGTAACTTTTCAAAGAGATAAGGCATGTCCCATATATTCCCTTAAAAATTTCTACTCCCCAACAGTGACATCTAAATTGGGATAGAGGGAATAGTTGTGTAGAGCTAAGGCGGCTAGGGGATGAGGGGGAGAAAAAAGATAGAGGGAGGGTGGGGGTGGTAGTGACTGTCAGTGGAAAGTAAGAGTGGAGGCAAAGAGTGGGGAGTGGTAGTGGGTGAGGAGTGGTGGCAATTTGACTCCGTTTGGATTGAATTATTAGAGGGATTTGGAAACAAAGGATAGTGTGAAGTGTGTTGGGTTGTCTTAAATGAAGATAAAATAAAGGATTGCAGTGATTTGGAAGGATAACTATCCCAAGGGCAGAGCCAGTGTGTGTTTAGGGGGCACATGCCCTGGCTTGGGCCCACCCAGTATAAAATATGACTATTTTTTATTTTATTATTACATTTATATGAAAATTTCTATATAATGTGCTTCTAAAATTTTTAACCTCTAAAATTATTTCTTAAATTTTTATTTCTCTTCTCTTTTGCTCTTAAAATTCCTTTAATTTTCTTTTTATAAAAAAAGGGGTTAAATGCTTTAACATTCCCGAGGTTTGGGTTTATTGCTTTTAAATTAAACTTGAGCAAAAATTATTCTGACAACCCCCTTTCAGATTTGGTTTATTTTGCCTTGACACACCCCTATAAAATAAAATGCCTAAATTACCCTCCATCCCCACTTTCTCTCTCTACCCCCACCTCCATCCTCCCATGGCTATTCTGTGCCACTTGAACGTCCGCCACCACCGACGTCATCTCGCCTCCTTCACTGTTGCCACTCTCAGCCAAGACACAATTGTTTGGACCCTGGCTAATTTATGCTGAAAGAGATTTCAAACTTTGGCTTATCACATCAGTATATTGGTTAGCATGGTCCAAAGAGACTTTCATTTGGGCAAACAAAACCGTAGACGACCTAATTAAATAATTGATGACTACCGAATTCAATAAAACTCTTACGAAAAATATGCATACATAGTAGTCTTAAAAAAAAAAAAAAAAAATGGTGTAAAAATTATAGTATGTAATACTTTTCTATTCTTCGTATTTAGATTTATTACTATAATTTATAAAGTTAATGGGGGTAATTTTCATTCATCGCTTTCAAAATAGATAGCTACAACTATATTCAATAAAAATATTAATTATTCAACAATATTTTAGTTCTTTTATTGCTCAAGACTTAAAAATAAAATTATTATACTTCTCATTGATTTAGCATATTGTTTTGCAATGATTTTTTTTCTCTCCTTGATTTGAACAATCTATATTTGTCTTGTTTGTTGATTTTTTTTTTTACATTGCGCCCCCTCTAATTTGAAATTCTAGCTCCGCTCTTGCTCATGCCTCCAAATCCCTCATATTTTATCCTTTCAAAAAGGGGAAGATTTGGAAAGAAAGAAAAGTGGTAAAGTTATACTTTTATAATTTCAAAACTACCCTCAATAATTAAAAAAAGAAACTTATTAGGATACTTGAGCTTATAAACCAATAATAATTTGGTTGTTATTCTTTATTTTATTTTCCTCCTCTACCTTTTTCAAACAAGATACTATCATTTCTTATATTTTCCTTCATAATTTATCCAAAACATAAATAAAGATTATTATGTAGAAGTTTCGATAGCCCAGTGGGTTAGTGCCTTGGTGAAAATTTGATTCAAGGGTACATCATTTGAAAGAAGCTCTTTTTGAAATTAAAATTTAGAGAAAAAAGAAGAAGAAGGAAAAACTATACATAGATAGAGTTAAGAGTCTTAAATAGTAAATTGATCAATTTTAAAAGTTGGTTTTTCACTTTTATTGAATTAAAAAAAATAATTATGAATGCATAAAGAACTATTGTTAAGGTCTAAAATGCCCTCTAAGCTTTCATTCCAAAATACCAAAATATCCTTTTTAAAATTATATAATTTTATAATATTAAAATAGATAATTTGAAACTAGTTTAACTATCATTTAATTCAAACTGCCCAAGACTGTGATGAAAATCCCTTACCATGTTAAGATTTTTGTTCAAAAAGCAATGATAGCTCATCTTTTACTTCTCTGGAGGAGATACAATCCAAGGATTTGTCTTCTAATAAAGGACGTCTAGAAGGTTGCTCTGGTAATCTCATTATAACCATCCATATATATATATATATATAAATTTAGATTCTAACTTAGAACAAAATGGTTCTTGTCTAACAAAAAAAAGGACAATACTTGGGTTTTTCCATTGGAGATTGAAGTTCATCCTCAAGATGAGGTGGACTAATGAAATCAGAATACATATTCAAAAAACTTAAAAAGTAAAAAGATAGATATTACCCATTTTTAATGGGTCAACCCCTCCCCTCTCTTTTCTCTCTCTCCCTTCCCACACAAGGTAACTTTCCATACCCAAGTTCCATCTCAATCCCTAAAATTCCTCTTCCACCCTTACCATATTCTTATTCACAATGCATCAATTAATTCAATGCTGGGACATAACCATATTAGTAAATGAATATGCAATATTCATTCTTAAAGGTATCTGTAAAAAATTTTGTGTTGTCGTATCAAACATATATATATATATATAAGAACGATTTTATATATGAAATCACATAATTAATAAGGTGGAATTACTAAGTTGTAATATTTATCTACAGAGTAACATTGTTGATATCTAAGGCCAACATTGTTTGGCAAAAACTAGAAAATATACACCTTCTGGAATAAAGAAATGCAAATAGTTTAAAGAGTAGCGAGTACTTCCTAGAGTTACGTATGCTGATTCAATCAGTGTCACAAATATTACAAATCACTAAATGTTAGCAATTAATCACTTTTTATTATTGTCTAGTCATATCTAAACATTATAGTATTGTTACATTATTGTATATATACAGACAAAGATGAGAAATTTGATTTATGAATTTCAACATCAATCTTCTTCCTAAGTTTGGAATCTCACTTCCAGGAAGAAGATTGATGATGCTAACAATCAAGCATGATACTAACTCAATTATATTAGCCTAAAAATTTTTGGGTAAAAAACTAAATAAGAATGTGAGAAAAATAAATAAAAAAATAACTCAAATCGATTAAGTATTGTTGGAAAAAAAAATTACAAATGTGCAAATATAAAATTTGAACATACCTGCTTTAGAAATATGAACAATCCTTGCTACAAGCATAGTATTGCAGGATTAGCATAAGAGAAGAGTGAAGATTAGGGTTTTGTGAATGGTGGTAGGGATGAAAGTACGTGGAGTGTGGAGAGAGAGAATGTGCGAGATGACAAAAAAAAAAAAAAAAAAAAGAACCAACCACGGTTTAACCCAAAAAAAATGAATAATACCCATCTTTTTTACTTTTTATATTTTTTGAACATGTGTTCTAAATTTATTTGTCCACCTCACTTATGAAGATAAACTTCAACCTCTTATGGGAAGGACCCAAGTATTGTCCTAAAAAAAAAATGCAAACTTTTGTAGATGATGTCATTTGCCTATATAGATCAAAAAATTCATCTAAATTTGCTACAACTATTGTTGATTTTTTTAAAAGTGTAAATTCATTCTTAAATAATTTCATTTTATCTTACAAGTATTTACCATATTATGAATATTATGAATTTACCAGATCATGCCTTATCTTGGATTCCATCTCTTTCAGTTTTGTTATATGTCAAACTTTTTGGTCATAAGTAACACTTGTTAAATTTAGCACCTTAATATCAGTTATTAAGAACCATTTTTAGAGATAAATAATATTACTGGTTTTCATCATAGAGTGGAAAGAAGTTCACCGCATCAAGTTATGCCGAATAAAGTAACAAATTTTATTGCATGTCATCTTCTCATTGGTGACCACATAATTGATACTGAAAACAAATTTGTTCACATTTCAAAATTTTATTTTCTTGACCCTTGACTCAGATATTTTTTTAATTGAAAAGGGCAAGGCACAAAGGCCTCCATCATGATGAGCAGAGGATGAGATCATCATATCATTGGACCAAGGAGATAAACATGGGCCCTGTAGGACCCACTCCAATTTTCTCCCACGCCTCCAAGAGAGAGATGTGCTTTGGGCCAGAGCCCCCATCAGCCAGCCAACCAACCCCTTCAGTATTCTCTTTCCACATTCTCAAAGTCGTTATACAGTATACGTGTGTGTGTGTATATATATATATATAGCCGAAGCTAAATGCAGAGAGAAGCATACATATAAAGAGCGCTTATGAGAGCTATAACTCATAGCTTTCTGTTGAATCTATACCCACCAACCAAAACCAACACCAATAAGAGCATAAACACAGTCCTTTCTTTTGTCAGAAAAACCATGTCTGGATCAGGTCAAACCTCTGGTTTTCACAGGCCCAGATTAGTTGTCAAGAAGGTCTTGGCCAAGCCTCAAAGTGAAGGCGATGGTGCTGTTGTTAGGAGAAGCATTGGAAGGTACTCTGATTTTCTTCAAAAAAAATTTCCCATCAATTCTTTGGATATTATGTCATTTGGGTATTGAAATTTTTCTGGGTTTTCTCAATTTTGATTCATGAGCACTTGTTATTTGAACAATTTGTCTTATGGGTATGAATTGTTTTGTGTGTTTTATGCATTTTGATCCAATGGTTCTTGTTGCTTAGGTGTTTTAGTTTTGTCATGATTATATTGATTGCTTATAGGTAATTGATGGGGATTTGACTTTTCAGGTCAGAATTGAAGTATTTGGATCCTTTTCTCATGTTGGATGAGTTTGCTGGTAAAATTTGATGATCACCTATTTAATCATGGCACTCTTGATATCCATTCTAATGTAATATGACCATACTGTCCTTGATCATGCAGTGTCACCTCCTGCTGGATTTCCTGATCACCCACACAGAGGTTTAATTAAAATCCCCATTTTTTTCTATGTTTTTCTTTATTTATTTATTTATTATTATTTTAAAAGAATCCTATTTGTGCTCATTTTCTTGGATCCTGATTTGCATGCTGATTTTACAGGTTTTGAGACTGTAACATATATGTTGCAGGTACTCTTTTTTTAGCTACAGTCTGTTTGAAAATTTGCTTGTGAAAAGGTTGAATTGTTAGATACTGAACATTGGTTTTGTACATTTTAGGGATCTTTCACCCATCAAGATTTTGCAGGGCACAAGGGTACAATCGGAACCGGTGATGTGCAGGTAAAGGGATATTGATTGAGGTCCATGTTATTCTGAATGATTTGTTTTTACAAAAATCAAGAAGATTTTGTGTATAAATTGACAATCTTTATTTCTCTTGTGCAGTGGATGACAGCAGGAAGAGGGATAATTCATTCTGAAATGCCTGCAGGAGAAGGAACCCAAAAGGGTTTGCAACTATGGATCAATCTTTCCTCCAAAGACAAAATGTAAGAAATTGTTTTTTAGCTCATGCATTATGTTTTCGAGTTTTCAATTCATGTTCTGTTTTGGTTGTTAGCACAATTCAGAGAACCAAAATTACAATATTCAACAAATTTGCAACTGATGGGTAAATAAGTGACAGCATAATTATTTACTAAAATTGCAAATAATAATAGCCTAATTATTCATTGTGACCTTATTCCACAGAGTATTCAATAATTTTAATTGCAAAAATGACTTTTTTAATTTATTTATTACATATTCTACTCTAGTTTTCAACTTGTATTGTACAATTCAGCAATCGGCATTTATTCACTTACATGTTCAAATTTTACCAGTAGTTCCAAAAATTTGGATCATGTAAGTTAATGTTGGAGCCAAATAATCCCGGAATGATTAATCCATTACCAACTTATTATTGCCATTTGCCAAGAATGATCCTTTTCTGACTTAAGTCCTATAAAATTAAACTACAGGATTGAACCGAGGTATCAAGAATTGTTGAGTGAGGACATTGGAAGAGCAGAAACAGATGGGGCTGAAGTAAGGGTTATAGCAGGAGAATCTATGGGGGTCCAGTCTCCGGTTTATACACGAACTCCTACAATGTTCCTTGATTTCACTCTGAAACCGAAATCTCAGTTGCATCAAAGTATACCGGAATCTTGGAATTCCTTTGTGTATATAATTGAAGGGGAAGGAGCCTTTGGTTCCTTGAACTCGTCACCGGTAACTGCTCACCATGTGTTGGTGTTGAGTCCAGGAGATGGTCTGAGTGTGTGGAACAAGTCTTCCAAGCCTTTGAGATTTGTGTTGATAGGAGGACAACCTATCAATGAGCCAGTGGTTCAGTATGGGCCTTTTGTGATGAACACACAAGATGAGATTGATCAGACTATTGAAGACTATCATTACTCCAAGAATGGGTTTGAGATGGCAAAGTATTGGAGATCACAATCAGTGGGCTAAAGAAAGCTTCAAAACAATGAAAGCATGTTTCAACCCCCAAGAAAAATTTAAGCAGAAATATAAAGAGCACCACCATCTTTATCTATCACTATCTGTCTCTCTCTGTCTACATTCAAGCATAGCAATCAAGTAGGAGCTGAAAAGAAAATTTTCTTTCTCATAGGAGCAAGTGTTTCTAGAAGCCTCAAAATGCAGCTGCAGCTAGTGTGTGTGTGTGTGTTTTTTCTCCTTTTGGTGACAGTTCATAATTTAGAAGTTGAATTTTCTTTTTTTCTTTTCTTTTTTTTTTTTTTCTTTTCTTTTTTTTTATTTGAGATTGTCTTGATAGTTGATACTATATCTTGTTTTGGGTGTTGGATTGGAGGTGGAAAATTGTGGTGGGGTTGGGTTTTTGGTTGTGAGTAGGGTTCACAATCATGTCTAAACCCAGAGGTGACCAACCAACTAAAATGTAATTGCTGGAACCACTTGGTACTAGAAATGAGTTGAATAATGTGGCAGATATTGATTTGGCAATGAGTGAGGATCTTCTGTTGAAATGATGTTTTGCTTGGGTGTTTTGATTGCACGTAGTTATACATCAGCTAAATGGACTGCGGTTTGTATTTCAAACCACTTCTTAAAATGGTTTGAATATAGTCATCCTACCTATTCCTGTATTCAACGCGGATTCTCTGTTGTGTAGCAATTCAATAATATTACATTGTTTACATAACAATTTCATGTTTCAACACGAATTCTCTATATTGTGTTGCAACTCAATACTATTACATTGTTTATGTAACAATTTCATATTGTTTATACAATAACTACTTTAATTTGTTGCGTAAGTGTTACATATTATGTTGCGTAAAGGACTCAAACACAGAATCTAAACACGGGATTCTCCTGCACTACTATTGCTTGTTACATATTAAAGTTAGTTGATCCTTTTCTTCAAGTACAAAAGAATTATAAGATGGTCCACAGGAACGATTTAATCATTGCATTTCTTGCTTCAGAGGCAGTTTTTGTGTATGCCACACAAGACTTTCAACCAACATTCTGTTAAAAAGTGACTTCTTTTATTCTTAAGATTTGAAGTTGAAAAGTTGAAGGTTTACCCATCGGAAGATATTTTCTCTTTTTAGGTAAAATATATATATTTTTTATTTTTATTTTTGGTGTTTGGTAAAAGCTTAGATCGAGTCCATTAGGCAGGCGAGGCGTGTAAAATAGTTTGTCAAAAATTGATTGATAAATTATTTTTATTAAATTTTAATATTATTTTCTTTGTAAATATTTTACCCGAATTTCAAAAAAACAAAAATTCTAAAAAATATTTTATATCCAAACAAACGAAAAAGATGATTTACCTTCCATTATTTTCCACCACTTCTAATATGAATGGAAACGCAATGGACTGCTAATGAAAGGACTTCCTTTCTCTCTTTATTTTCCTTCCTTTTTATTGTCTATCAAATGAATGAAAGGCCTTCTGTCATTCCCAATTAATTTACAGGTCAAAGTTCAAACCAATTAAATGAATACATGCATGTATTAGAATATCTATATATATGTATTATCTAGTTTTTTATTCCTTTTTTTCTGAATATATATCTATTATCTAGTTTTTTTTTATATTCTATATATATCTATTATCTAGTTTTTTTTTGGGAAACTATGTGATATCTAGTTTTTTTTGGGAAACTATGGATTGAGTCAAATTCAAATAAGCCCAATAAGTCTATAGTTGATCAAACATAAGTCTAATTAATCTAATTAGCTCAACCCATCCGATATGCCTATTTACATACACAAAATGGGCCCAAGTAGTATATACCACGATGGGTTCGGAAATGTGTTAAGATATTTTCTTAACACAAAGTCCAATCTGATCTATACTCTTCTGAGTAAATTAAGAAACAGAAAATCATTTATTAGTCCGAAAAAATTGCTTTAATCCTTGTAATTGCCAAAAGAAAAGAAGGGAAGAGAAGGGGAAAATGAAATCATTTCCTTTTGTTTTATTGAGAAGAGAAAGTGGAGTGATTTTATTTTATTTTATTTTTTCCAAACACAACATTCTACATTCGACTCTACTAGCAATTTTATTTTCTGCTGACTTGGAAGAATATATAACTCAGAAAATAACATACGCACACAGGCAAGACAACAACTATATAGAGGGCAAATTACTAGGCATGAAGCTTCCATGATTACGGAGTTTTGGGGACAGAGAGAGAGAGACAGAGCCACATTTAAGGCAACACGTACAATTATATTATATATATATATATATATATAAATATATATATTATATGATAAGGTGCCTTATAAAGTTTTGGAGGCCGGTATCCATACTTCATTTTTCAACATTTGTACTACAATTTTAAATGAAATAACAATTTTAATCTTAACTTTACAAATAAATAATAATAATAATTTTTTAAATGACAAAATTGCCCTTTCATATTTTCTCCTCTTATCTCTAATCTTTAATATTTTAAGTATCTTTTTACAACACAAATAAAATAAAATAAAATTTGAATAATTTTTTTTAAGGGACAAAAAATAAAATAAAATTTGGTTATGTTGAAAAAATTGCCTCTTGACCGGATAAAAAAATAAAAAAGTAACCATTTAAAAAATTATCACTTTTGAAATGAAAAAAAAATTCTAAAAAAATATATTTATTGAATAAATTATCTTTGTGGTCAAGATTTCCCAAAAAAAAAAAAAAATAATAAAAAGTACAAAAGAAAGATGATTAAAAAAAAATTATCTCTATTGAATAAATAATCTCTTTTGACAAGACCCAAAAATAAATAAATAAATAAATAAAAGATGTTGTTTTTATTAAATATATTATTTCTTTTGACAGGACTCATAAAAAATTATCAAAAAAATAAAGTTACCTCTTTTGACAGAATTGTGTGTGACCTTTTTTTTTTTTTTATTAGTTCTTTTTCATTAAGATAAGTCATGGTTGATAGTACTCTCTTTAATATGAATCATGAGTTGCATTTTCCAACATAGTACATGGTAAATTATTTGTTTTGAGCATACACACACACACACACACACATTATTGGTTGAAACAGACATATATATACTTGATACATTCATGGTACTATGGTAGGCAACTTACCATAAGGTTCAATAAATTAACAATGTAAGACCACAGATTGGATAAAGAAATTATACAAGAAAACTTCAAACCATTTTAATAGTCAAAAAGCTAGCTTTTGATAAGTGAAACTCCTCCAATGAAATTAAAGTTTTACCTCTAAATAGGGGGGAAAATGTGCCAAATTGATATATTTTTTTTTGTATGCTTTATGATGGCGTTGTGTGTGTTATAATTTGCAAGCACATATAATACATGTGCCATGATTTCAAACGTAAAGATAAATCTTTTTCCTTCATCTTGTACCCCATCTTGATCATCATTAAAAACATGGGCAAGCTCTCTCTCTCTCTCTCTCTCTCTCTCTCTCTCTATATATATATATATATATATATATATATGATTTAATGGTTTGAACTGGGCTTAATTATCGTGCACGTGAACTCAAAACTAATATAATAATAAAATAAATTAGTTTACTGTTTAAATATAAAAAATTCTTTTTTCTTTTGAAGGAAAGAGATAGAAACAAATTATTTTTACCATACAAAATATTGTATTGCATATATAAATTGATATTATAAATCCGTATTTATTGTCATAATTTTTTTTGGAAAGTTACTTATTGCCATAAATTTACATAATATATGATTTTGTATTGTCTTTTAATTATGAAAATTATGGTCTCTTTTAATTGATTAAAAGGTTAGTTACGTACGTTCAATTAAGGAAAGTAGTAATATTTCAGACATATACTATTATATTATATCATATTATGGTATAAAATTTGAGACCCTTCTAAATTGGAGACCCTAGGGGATCACCACCTTGTTCCAAGATCGGATTATGTCTGTTCATGAACCCCAATTGATTTATCATTAAGTGAATGAATGTATGAGTTTCTTGTCAAGTAAAAACAATAAGAAAACTCAAGTTGATTTCATGATCAATGTGTCATTTGCTAAGTGGGAAATTAGTTTTCACCGTCCAACTCTGTACTAAAATGAAAATCAAAGGGAGATAAGTGCATCTTTCTTTTAAATAAATAAATAAATAGAAAAGTGTTTATGAAATTGTAAAAAAAGTGAGCACGAAAATCTTCCATTTTCTTTATTAATCTCAAAGTTAGTTGGGGAGTAGGGAGTCTAGGGACCACGGAATCTAAATTTTATTGAATAAAGTACAGGTTATCCCATGAAAAATTTAAATCACATATGTCATTCAATCTTAATACTTTCAATTCAGCCGTAAAGATAGACTAATTATATATTTTTTAATGGTTTCATGGAAAGTAGATACGAGTTCATTTGTTTTTAGTGTAAAGTGGGGGAAAAAAAAAAAAAAGTATTATAGAACTTTTAATGTGAGATTTTTTTTTAGGTAATTAAACTTTTCATGTGAGTTGTCAATTGACTACTTTACTTAAGATTTTGGAGAAAGTATCTTTTCTTTTCTCTTTACCAAAAGATAAATCACATTATATAACTTTAACATCACGCAATTAATAAGCTATAAATGTACTTATATACATTGTCTTTGATTGAGAGTTGATATTAATGCTCTATTTTTACTGCATATCAATCTGAATTGTGAATTTACAAATATGTCATGTCATAGTGAAAAGCAGTTTATATCTACAAGAGCTGGTAGCTCCCATTTCATTAGGAAGCCTTCCAGTGCTAAATTTAGAATATATTTTTTTGGCTTTATTAATAAGTTTCATTTGGGAGCAACGAACCAACATTGTAAAATTGGAATTGATAAAATTAGACTTGTTACTTTTTCTCTTTCGTATTAGTATCATTGTTTTTCTTAAGAAATTCAAAACAATTAGACTAGCTATGTTTCTTGGTCTTATTCTTTAGATTTGTTAGTCATTATTAGCGGTCGAAAGTTGCCTAACCCATTAAAATTTAAACTATATATTTTTTTTTTTCAATTTTAATTTCAATGGACTTATTCAATACTCCAAATTTAGCATTAATATTTTTGGAATAATTAGACTAGCTATATAATTTTATTTTATTTTTGTTCTTTCTAGAAATTCAATGCATTTTGACTTGCTACTTTCCACTAGTCTTTCTATACATTTCTTAATCTTAATAGAAAATGGTCGAATGTTGCCTAACCCACTAAAGACATACTAGAATGATGTGAAGTACAGAGGAATTTCCACACAAAAATAAAGAAACATGACCAAGATTCAAGAATATTGCACCTTCTTTAAGGCCTGTTTATATCAATGAAAAATATTTTATTCGGAAAAGGTTTTTTTTAGGTATAATGTTTTTATTTTTTATTTTTTTATTTTTTCAATATTTTGTAAAGGTTGGTCGAGATTTACTAGAAAAAAAAAAAAAAAAAAATTTAGGTTGAAATTAAGGTCGAGTCCATTAGATAGGGCGTG